CAACCTTATGAGCAAGAGTTCCATGTTTCTAGGTTTCCTCGTAGACCCTTCTCACTGACTGGTCACTTCCCTCGACTATCAACCTAGAAGAGATATATTTGAAATTAAACGGCCATCTATACCAGACATTCGGAAAATCATCATAACAGCTCCCCTTTTTCTGTAGTTCGGAATCCGAGTGAACATTCTTTGAGCGGATTCAGCACAGCCACTAGGAGATTCTTTTCATTCATTTCGACGCTCACTTTGCTAGGATTGCTTTCCATTTTCAGCGTCTCGAAAGTATTCGGAGAGTATGGTTTGCAAGCATTATAGGGCATGGACGCATGCTAGGGTAACGGGTCATGGCGTTTGCATTTATAGAATCTTCGTCGTTGACTCGTAATCATTCGATAGTTATTTCATTGCATAATGCTATTTCAGCGTTGCTGGAAAGTAGTTCATTTTGATATTATGATTCTCTATAGCGCTCAAAAAGCCATTTATTCTCTTTCGGTTTTCTCCCCGTCGATCATATTAGTTCCTGGCTACGAAAAGTTTTAGCGGCCACTGCACTCTACCGTGAAATAGTGCACATCATCGGTCAGTGGACAGAGAAGGCAGATTTGTAATCACCGCCTAACGACGCATCATATATCTCACAACAAATTCAAAATGATACTTATCACGTTTATGGTCGGTGGTTCACCCGCACCACTCGTGTTCGTGCGGCCGCGGTTTGACGCGCAATAACACATGCTACGGTTCTCTGCTGAGCTCGATTTTGAATAGCTGATTGACCGTATGTGCACTAGCTTTGTCTTGAGTGCACACTCGAACTATCTTTCTGTCATTCAAACTTTTCTTGCAACTACAAGGTGGTGGCTTGCCGTGTGAAGAGTGGTAATATGCTCAATGTTTCGGATTGGTTCCTGATGCCCCATTCACGCTCAACGGAACGAACATCACCGAATGCTCCAGCTACGTGTACCTAGGTCGGGAAATCAATATGATGAACGATCTAGCTCCAGAGCTGAGCAGGAGGAAACGAGCGGCTTGGGGAGCGTACAAGAACATCGAGGGAGTAGTGAAGAAGACGAAGAACATCCGGCTCCGTGCCCACCTCTTCGATTCCGCTGTCCTTCCTGCCCTAACCTACGCCTCAGAGACTTGGACTCTGCGCAGGCAGGACGAGCATGCGGTCAGCGTTATCCAACGCGCTGTCGAGAGGACGATGCTAGGAGTAACCCTATACACGCAAGTGCAGAGGGGAATCCGGAGTGCCGAACTACGCCAACGATCGAAGATCAGGGACGCTGCCGTTTTCGCCAAGGAATCGAAGATAAGGTGGGCCGGACACGTCATGCGATTTTGCGATGACCGTTGGACCAGAGCGGTTACCGACTGGATCCCTCGGGACGTCAAACGAACAACTGGACGACCGCCGGCCCAATGGTAGAGTTTTCACGAACTAAGCTCTGTACGAAAGGATATGAAGGATCAGGTGCGTTGTCCCTCGAGCGAAGGATTGCGTTGCGAGCATATCTTTGGCACGCGACATGGAACGAATGGAGACGTGCTTTGGCGTCCGCCTTAAAGAATCGAAGTATTAACGGGAGACGGTGTACAGGTGGAATTTCCAATAACCTAGTCGTGCTGGAGCTCTTGAGTGTCAAACTGTGAAGATTAAGAGATTAAGTTTTCTATCCGATGGTAGCTCTGTTCATTTCCTTAGATTTGATGATCTGTCGGATTCTGTTATGTATTGAAAAATGATGACCACAAGGACCCACCAGAGCCGCCACCAAGCGCATCTTTCTACTTATCGCCGTATCATGAGGCCTTGTCGCGGCTGTGGATGATGCCCGGACCAGGGTGAATATTGCTTGAGGATTCCTCAACGGCACGTCGAGGATTTTCGCCTGATCCTTTACGTTCTCGCGCGCGGATATTCACTCTCGCCACCCGCGAGCCGTCTGTGCTCTCCGCGCGTACATTCACTATCGGCTCTACTCTCGCAGCAGAGAGCGATGGTCGAGGAATTCCTCGACCGTTATTCACCCTGCCCTTGACTAGCATAGTCAACCTCCGAATCCAGGAATCGAGCTATTAGCATGCGCTAGCGATTCAGGAGTGTGGGAGAAGGCAAGACGTTCCCCCGTCCCCCCATCCATCTGCATGATGATTTTCGCTACACTCCCAGGCTCATGAGGGCATCAGAGCTTCCGAGCAGGGTAGCCTCAATAGTTCGGAAACCTCTTATAAAAATCACCTATACAAAAATTAGTTTAATTGTTCTTTTTTCTCTGTGGTTTTTTTCTGGGTCCCTCAAACGCGAGTTCTCATTCTCCTAACGTCCTTAAACTCTCTAAAATTGGTCAGTGCTACATAACGAATGTTGGAGTTTTCGGAGAGGCTCTGAGATGAGGACCTTTTTTTGCTAGAATTTTCAATCAGAAATCTAGGAGTGGATGCGTCGAATTCGATGCACTTTCTTCCACTTTGAATTAGTCTGAAGGCACTGCGGTCGAAAGAATCTGTTCGATAGTCCTAACTGGAATATGAAGTGATTCAGTAGGAACTCCTGCTCTAGGATGGGCCATTCATTGTCTGTGATTAGTAGTCACAAGAGTGGGGTCAAAAGTCTGTACTCCTTTTCTACTTTGCTATGCCTTGATATCTCCAAATTCCGTACCCTGTACATGTTACGATCTCTCACACTCCCGTTCCAAGGGCCAAATACGGTCCCTTCGATACTTGCACAAAGGATAAAGCGAGAGTCAATATGCGAACGGCAAGGGGCTGTCGACACTTTCCCACACTCTCGATTTGCTGAAGCATTGTTTGTACCCCACGATTCGCTGAATTCGCAAAGTCTGACACATCGTTCTAAAATTGCAAACCGTGTGAAGTCGCAGACTACGAGCGCAACCTACAACTGCCGCGCTTCCCTCGTCAGAACTTTTCAGAACTTTTGCACAGACTCGCGAAAACTCACAATGGCATCGACCGAAAACGGCTGATTTCCTGTGCTAATTGGTGCGCGATGACTCCATATTGGGTGTCAAGAAAGACCTCTCTATTTCGCGCGCATACGAGGCAATACAGGCGAAGGGTTTTGTGTAGGGTCTTAATTCTAAAGGGGAAGCGCTTATGCTAAGATACGCCGTTTTGAAGGACTCATTATACTATTCATCCGAGCCGGTCCAAAGCCAACATGGAGGAAAAATCGGACTTGTTTGGCCTTTGTTTGCGTGTGTAGGGCTCTCAGAGAAGCCTTATTGACGCACTCACCCACCATTACACTGAGTGAAACTTGATAAAACCTCACATCCAGTAGTCCAAAATCACACCTTCCAATCTGATGCCTATTCCGATGTTACCACCTGCATGCGAAAGCATTCGTGACAAGACAAACTCCAGTGTAAGGTGTCTAAATTTCAATTCTGTCCAGACGCAAAAAAGTTACATTTTTGGGACACACATAGAAGGAAATACTACAACACATTGCAGAGGGTTATTGATAGAAACACGCAATGGAATGATTGTAGAAGGCACTTCTCTTCAAAGACAGTGACTGAAGAGGTTGATTCATATCATAGTGAACCTTCAAAAAAGAGGAGCTGGTTCTTGATGGGGTGTATGAACACTACGGACTGCAAGGCATGCTCTGCTACGTGCTCCCATACTGGCCGCAAGTTGGTCAAGAGTTCTTGTGGAGAAGCGATCCATTCCTTGAAGACCGCGATTGACAATTGCTGGACATTATTGGCGCATGGGGATGCGCTACAATAGCTCTCCTGAATATGCACATACCACACGTGCTCCATAGGAATTGAGTGGGAAAAGCGGACAGGCTCACCAATCGCCAAAGATCCTAGCGTTCCAAGAGTTTTCCACCAAGGCTGCTCGATGCGCTCGCACATTGTCCTCCATACTATGAAATTGGGATCAAACGCACCCTGAAAAGATACACATAAGAGAGGAGTACAGCGTCACAATAACGTCGATCAGAAAGCATTCCGCGATCACGAGTTGGGAGGTCGGTACGCCCCTGCAACTTTATGCCTCCCCACACCATATCGAATGGACTATCAAAACAATCATGTTAACGATGGTCCTGCACGTTCCTATTCTCGCCTTATATGGGTGAAGTCCAGAATCACTACCCACACACAATTTGCTCTAACCTGAGAAGAGCACAACACGTTCCTCCGAATTATGGTCCATTAAAATGTCTTGGTACCTAGCAAATGTTAAAGCCGATACGCGGGTTTCAAAGGAACACCAGGTACTGTTGGTCGGGCAGAGAGACCCTATGCGGTCACTGTGCCACTGTTCAGCTGGGATTACATGCCTTACAATCCTGATAAATGTTTTTGCAACTGCAGCCTGTGACTGACGTGGGTCCATTCTTGCCTGTTGCAAAACGTAGCAATCACCTGCTGTTGCGGTTGTTCGTGATCCACCACCTCCTCTTCTATGGGCAGCAGTGGCTGCGGTCCATATTGCTCCCCATGCGCATAAAACAATGCTGTGAGCAACACCAAACTCCTGGACCACTCGTTGCACATATTCTTTCTTCCAGTTTTTCGACCGAGTTCATTCCTAACGTGCCATGAGAAGCCATGCTAGTGTTGTCTCCGTGACTTGCTGTAATCAAAACACCACTACATTTCACAGTAAATTCCCCTTATGTACACTCTTGCTTGTCCTGTTCTACCAAACCCCTTGCTCCACGTGACCAGTCCCTTTTAATTCCAGATTGAAGCGGTCCTAGTGATATATGAGGGGAACCTGGCATCATGATTCTACAAATTCATCTGTTGAGAAGTTCTATAGTTCTATCCATTGAGTTATTGAGAAGTTATGCTATTAATCCACTAGGTCCTTGGATTCTGAACACCAGCGGATGAACGAATGAATGGCTCGAATGAATTGAGTAACGTAGATCTGAAGTAACGTCCAACTTCATTATTCACAGTCGACAATTACCTAGAATTTTGAGTTACTCTTTCCAGATGGTTTACTATAAATCAACGGAGTTTGGATGCCATTACCAGACGTGCAATCTGCCAACAATGCCGCCAATGAATGCGTTGGCTTGCGTATTTAACAATGCGTGAGTTTCTCTTGGACATGCAGAATTCTTAGACCGCGTACTGTTTCCCACCACTAACCTCATCAGGACTATCTTTGTTCATAGTTTCAATGCGATAGCGGCATGCTATAAAATCAAGAATACCTCCTTACAAGAAAAACTACAGCGACCATATTTCCTTTCACAAGCACTCGGAAAAAAATACACTTCCCCACTTAAGGTCCTGTTGCTTACAATTGCTATCCATTATTTACTTACTGAATTTTCAATCTCTCCTTGAATAAGAGAATGGCCCGCGAATTAAACTTGCCTTCACCTCGTCCATGAATCGTTACCTCACCAAATAAGGTAAGCAGGTTAACACATTTACGACGACGCTTCATTTCCACTTTCGGTCCAAGTGGACTTCCTCTACATCGTGTACTCTGCCTTTAAGCAACAGTTCAGAATAAAGTTACTGAAATAACAACCGATAATGAAGTTAGAAGTGCGGAGTCAACTGAAAAAAGAAAAAAGGAAGGAAACAATAAAGCCCTGAGAGAGGACCACTCCTTTCGGCTTACGACGAGGAAAGGTGTGTCTGAACGAGATTCTTAAATTTGTTGGGATGCAAACCTGCCCGTACGTAATTCAAGCCACTACTTCGTAATCCACTTTGTGTGCTATGGAGTTAGCGCAAGGAATCTTGTTCATTTTCTCAGATTCGCTCACTTTGTGAAGTGATCCTTCTGTCCTGATTGTGGCTCACGGTTTTGGAGGCATGCCCCACGAGCAAACTGGTGAGGTCCTGACACATGAATTCAAAAATACTAGTACGAAGCGGACCGTACCCAAGGAAAAGTGAAAAGAATTCTACAAAAACGCTTTAGTTGAGGACTTGCTCACCTACATAATACGCCTTGTTAAGGCATAGGCAAGCTGAACAAAAAGGTGAGAAAACTAACTTCGCGAAGTTTATTAGCGCCCTTGTCGGGCGATTTCCGTGCACGGGAGTGCCACATCTGTGATTGCCCTTTAGGAATCTATACTACAAATGGAAGGGTATCGTTGAGACAATATCTGCCTGTGTAATCTACATTCATCAAGGCAGGCGGACCTCGACATTATGTGATGAAAATGCTCAAAGACTCCGAACTTTTATTCAATTTTTTTAAAAATTTGCTTCCAGGCCGGAAATGAACGAGCCGCTCTACGTAGCCTTCTAAAGAGGGTCAAGTGGATGGATGCAACTTCGACAGTGACTGCCAACAATATGTACCTTTCGCAAAATGTACGACATCAGACCCTTATAAAGGACTTTGTTATACGACCAACGATACAACCTTCATCAGTGAGTTCTAAACTTTCTCTTGCAAACACCTTTGTTACCAATTGCAAGCCGCCGTGCTGCTTGTATGTTCTGCCGCACTCCCTTTGCATTGTACTTTTGTAACATTGATCAGTGGCCTAAGCAACCCTCTGTCTCCAGAGGCAACCCCCTATATGAATTCCGGTTCAGAAAGATGACTTGAACGGCACATTCCACAGTCGTTTAGGTGGACAAATTCGCGCCCTGTATAAAATTGTGAGTTGATGTTGAGATGTGCCCTTGCCCGAAGGTCTTTGCAGGGTGCCTCAATTTTTTCCAGACCGGTCTTTGCGTCTATTATCAGGCACTGATGCGAAACCGCTGCACGCGAATCCATTGTTAATTTCCTGAATTCGGTCCCTCTTCCAGTAAAGAGTCCTGTGTGTTCGGAATCCTCGTGGTTGACAAAAGTGCATTTTACGCAACTCAAATCTTAAATACTCAAGCAGCGAAATGGACTTAGCATGAGCAATGAATGCCATATTCATAATTAGGACTGTAAGTAACTCTTAAAAATCCCATTTCAAATTAACCTAGGGATGGTGAGTGGTACACGAAAGAAGGAAGAACCATGAGAAACGGCCCAGAACCCGAGAAATGGTACCCCTTCCTTGCCCGTTGATTCGAGCATTGATGCGACTCTCATCGCTGTGCCCTCTTCAACACTACGCTCTCTCAGCTATCTAATCACTCGCCACGTATTGAACTACGGCGAGTGATCAGATGATCGGTGGGCGGAGATCGCCGGACCCGCCAGCTTTGAGGCATGATAGGTCGCCGAGGTCAAATTTTTCCATGCGAATTGCGCGTCAGTTCGCACCCTCAGGAGGTCCGTGGGTCCCTCAACTAGGTCAGTTTCCCTTTCTTCGACCTTCATTCTAATCGTGAATTCCTCCTTTAAATCTGGGTGAAAAATTTGTGACAGCGGGCCAAGAAAGAGCATCCACTTTAGTGACACAGCTTTTTCACCAGATTTTTACCCAAACTCTATTTGTAAGGGTTACTAACGGTTCTAATCAATCTGAATATGGTACCCATAATTCATGCTAACGCCAAATTTTGGGAAACGTCAACTCGAATGCAAAAATGTCACCACGAGGAATCGAACCAGGGACCCCCTTTTTGGTATTCAGAGGGCCGTTCAGGAAAAATTAACCATGGTTCTGTGGTTTATGCATGTGCCCCTATATCATGCAAAAGACCGTTTTGAAAAAGCTTGGCACTCCCTGAAAGGCTTCCTAGTTAGCAAAGAAAAACAAAACATGAAAACATCAAAATCATTGAGAATAGAGCCATTCTTTCTTTTGATGGCTGAAGCGATTGCGTGACGCAGACAGTCTGGAAGGAACTGTGCGCAGAGGAGAAAGAAGAGACAAGGAAGAGGAGGAAGCGCATCAGCGCGTAGGATCGTTGCCGATTAATATTCGTGAGTAGTGATCAAGGATCGGAGCGACAAAATCCGGACTTTTCGCACGAATTTTTAGTTTGCAGGATTACATGACCTCTTGATCTTGCAAAGCGCCTGCTGCTACAACCATTAGCAGACATTGCTCCAGTTGAGTTAACGCTTGAATGTGTCTGCATCAAGTAGTTTATGCGCGGCGTAAGATTTCAACCGACGTTGACGACCGTGTGATGGCTGTCATACTCGGTCGTCACGTGTCAAAACGAATGTGACATGATGTCATGTCACAGTCTTTTTTGCTGGTTTTCAAACATTTTAGGTAACTTATTTATGTGATGTATACGCCATACTTAGGCATTGTTACAAAAGGCGTGGTCCCTGGAAAGAAGCTTCGGTTGATGGGCTATCGAGTTTTTCAAAAAATGTTTGAATAATGATCAGTGGCCGGAATTTTTGTGCTCAGGCGCTCAACAATTCATTGCTAAAGCTTTCAGCCTTGCGGTCATTGCCGATATCGGCTTAACCAGCTGAACATTGTATTAAATACCAGTTTTGCTTCGCCCGCTATCGCGCGCATCACACGGCAGGCTTTAGCGAAATTGGAGGACCCATGGAATATCAGCATGAGATACTCCATTAACCATCTCACTATTGACTGTGTTAGACCCTCCACAGTTTCACTGAAGCTCATCGAGAATACGCGTGATAACGTCTGAGCTGAACTGGTATATTGATCACAACTGTAAACATCCAGCATTTTTCTTGAATTAAGATAATTTAGCGGTGAATAGGATTGCTGTCAGTCTCAAAATCAAAACGAAATATGCCTATTTACATAAGTGAGGAGCTAATGCTTATCATTCATTTACATTCATCATTATTTAGAACCACGAAAGGATTAGCGGTTTAATGACTTTGGGTTTTCTCAATAGTCAGAAATAAAACTTATCATTTGTTTTTAAACATTATGCAGTCGAATTCTATTAAGTAAGCTGGATATATATCGAAAAATGTGCACGTACTTTGTTTGTACTACTACGACTTACTACAATTTGTAAGTAGGAACGCTCTAGTGTCAACGCTGCGTAACGGAATTGACGACTTTTGCGTTCTGACGCGCCTTATCGGCCCTTATCAATCGTTATCAGTTTCTGGCACCCACCAACAATGTCCCCGTCCCACCCCACATAACACTTGTAAGTATGGTTGCTCTGGTGTCAACGCGAGCCAGGCAACGGAATCGACGACTTCAGCGTTCTGGCGCGCCTTATCGGCCCTTATCAATCGTTATCAGTTTCTGGCACCCACCAACAATGTCCCCGTCCCACCCCACATAACACTTGTAAGTATGGTTGCTCTGGTGTCAACGCGAGCCAGGCAACGGAATCGACGACTTTTGCGTTCTGACGCGCCTTATCAGGCCCTTATCAATCGTTATCAGTTTCTGGCACCCACCAACAATGTCCCCGTCCCACCCCACATAACACTTGTAAGTATGGTTGCTCTGGTGTCAACGCGAGCCAGGCAACGGAATCGACGACTTTTGCGTTCTGACGCGCCTTATCAGCCCTTATCAATCGTTATCAGTTTCTGGCACCCACCAACAATGTCCCCGTCCCACCCCACATAACACTTGTAAGTATGGTTGCTCTGGTGTCAACGCGAGCCAGGCAACGGAATCGACGACTTTTGCGTTCTAGCGCATCTTATCAGCCATTATCAGTTGCTATCGCTTCCAATCATGTACCACCAATGTCCCGGGACCGCCCCACATAAGACTTGTAAGTATAGACGCTCTTTTACCAATATGAACGGCAAAACGAAATTGGCGATGCTCGCTTTCTAGCCCCTCTTATCAGCTATTATCAGTCGTTATCAGTTCCTATCACGTACCACTTGTGTCCCCATCCCACCCCCTATAACATATGTAAGAACCACTGCGCTATCGTTACTGTGACTCGAGCTATGAATTTCCGGTCAAACACACACACACCAACAGACACACGCTAGCCGCTTATATATAGTAGGATGAGTGCTGACAAGCTATGGTGACGTATACCATGAAGAGCTGAGTTGGAATGAAATGGTGCCCCGGTAGCGTAACTGGTAGCGCACTTGCCCGGAAAGCGAGAGGTGCGGGTTCTAGTCCCGCCTGGGGCGAAAGTTTTGTTCACAACCCAGCATTCTTGTGAAACATTCGCAAGGGGAACTGCGGTCAAAAACAGCCGTTAACAAACAAATACAAAAATTATTTGCAATAATAATTTGTTACAATGGGTGAGAACGCTTTTGTTAGGAAATGGACATGTGCGCGCCCGTTGATCTTACATAATTGCAGCCGCTTCTGCGTTGTCTGTATAACGTTTTACGTTCGCATCCGTTCCTCCTTTTCCGCAAATCGTGTAAATCCGATTGCAATCCAACGATCATTCTATAAGCTCGAGATACAGGGACCAGGAAGTGATCCTAGGAGGGTACCTCTTAATCGCACGTTAGCTTTGGCCCTTTCTACGCGCTCTCAAATCGCAGGAATCGCTGAAATGGCCAAAATCGCAAAATCCGAGACTTACCACACAAGGTAAACATCCTCGCAAGTGCAGCATGCAGTGCGCAATGGGTCAAATAAGTACCATGGTGCTGAATCGTGAATTCAGAAGGGATTGTTTCTTTCCAGCATCTACCACCGTAACCACTACATCACCAACCACAATGAGTACCACGGTTCCGACCACAACTGAGTCGACTACATCCTCAACAGAGAGCACTACGGTTTCTTCCACAATGGCGTCTACCTCAACTGAGAAAGGTTCCTCGACAAGTAAAGCAGCGTCCACGGCCTCTACTACAACTAAGACAGCTTCTACGACAACTGAAGTTACAACCACGACAACTCAAACAACTTCTACAACACCACCAACCACAACTATTTTCGATCCCATGACTGAAGAAATTCGCACAAATCTCACTAACATGCACAACTATCGCAGGTACATTCATTTACTGTAATGAATCCCGTTTTTTATGCTACTTGCTCTTGGAGGTAAGTCAGAACAATTAATTGTGCAGGGTTTTACCCCCTTCAATTGCCCTTTATTTTCGTGCATTCCATGAATGAGATTTGCATGGTATACAGGGGTGGCCAAAAAAAGAGACACTTCACTCCACATTCAAAACGGAATTATTTACGCGTTGCGAAACCAAACCAAATGACCCAACTGAATATTGAAGAGCACGTTATAATCTATCAACAAGTACACAACAGCCTTCTACACCGACGACATCAGAAGATTTTCCCACGGAAACATGGTTCACGGTACGAGCTCAACGAGGTCGTCGAGGTACCATAGACCATTACGACGTCCTGAAACGCTGGTCAAAAGCGGTCTTGCACAGTTCACAGCTAATGTCTCTTGAAGCTATTCAGCAGTTAGCTAAGATCTGTCTCTGGAAGCTATCTCACACAATTAATTCATTGAAGAAAATTGTAGCAGCTTCAGGTCGGAGCGATTACGGTAAGCCTCGTTGAGCTCGACGGTGACGGCAGATGACGTCATATTCTGAAGACGGCGGGGGCAGTGAAGGAGGGCCTGCTTCTGTTTACGGGGGAACACCTAAGGAATATATTTACGCCGTAAAACTTTCATTAGCATCGGCACCCTGTGCGACGAAAAGTTCGATGCGTAATGCGATTGAGAGGTCGGGTGCTTGAAGAGAGGCTGTTCTCTTTTTTGAGTCACCTTTGCTGTTGCATCAATTCAAGTATGAGAGAGGGAAGCGGTGATGACGAAAGATTCGTTTGAAGTACTTTGGGTAGTGAGTCGATGAGTTCAGATAGGAGACATATCCCTCTGAAAAATGCCAAGAATACGATCGAAGAAGTTGCTGATTAATGGCCTCTGCTCCTCATGTCCAAACCTTAACAGTCGAATGTTGGAAGGGACGGAAACGTGTAGAGGGTGTGTACGTTCAAGAGTTTCATTCACGCACCGTGTGCGTGGTGAAATGAGGGGGGGGGGGGGTTGAAACCCTTGAGAATGCACACTTTTTACTCACCAGGTTTTTAATCCTGCCGGAGTCGCTTAACTTGGAACCACATTCGTATGGGAAGGTAAATGCACGCAAATGTGAATTGGCTGTCCCCATAGGCATCATAAAGGCCAAACGGCATTCCCTTACAATGCTGAGTGGAAATAGACTGAGTGACTGTTCTCGGACTCGATCACTGATCCACATCGTTCAGCCTTTATATGTTCGAACACCGAAACGAGTTATGTACACGGATTAAAAACCTTCTTGACAGCACAAAATTGGATCATAAACGGCGCTCTACCTATGCAGATATATTGAAAACCACTGCGATGCAGAGCGAGCATGGAGAACCAGGCTGACATCTTCGAAACATCCTAATAGTACAGCATTTCTCGGTGCACCTCTCCCCAGAAAATGAAAATGCTTCTGATCCACTGAGCAACTAGCTGATTTCTTTACACTGTACCCAGGCATACATGGGCTAGATTCTCTCAGTACTTGAAAACCAGTGAATCCCTAAATACCTTCACCTTTCCATATCCGTAAGGTTCATGTGCCTGCACAGCGTGCCGTGGTCGAGGTGAAAATAGGCAAAAGTCAAGTACTACTGTGCACAAGAGCGCTGTAGTACGTTTAAGGAAAGGAGTGCTGCGATGATATGCAAGTAAGAGGGTAGGGGAGGGTTCAAGAAAACAGTAGGTGGAGCTGTAGTGGAGTAAGGCAGCTCCAACGGCGTCACTGCCGCCATGTGCGCCTCGAAAACCTTCTTTGTCTGATCGCCAGCCGTGGAAGGCTAACGGCGATGTTATTGAAGTGACCGCTACTGCCACAGCTCGTACTTATTTGCCAAATGCAATGTCGCGTTCAGCGGCGTAGCGGTAGGTAAGCAAGGACGTTCGAGTGAAGCAACAATTACTTCTACATAATGTCGGGAAGAAGGTCAGCAATAGCACCCTTTGAGAGCCGTGCTGTAGTGGATTTGTAACAAACCCAATCTAAAGGAATGCGAACTGATTCCGTGTATCAATGTCAAAACTGAAACTTACTTTTTTTGCGCAAATACAACAGTATATCCATCTCTGAGCAGCTTTGTGCATTTCACTAGGTTGGACCGAAGCCTTACCAGGAAGGTCTTTCAGGGCGTGACGAGCTTTTTGAAAACGGTCTTTTGCATGATATAGGGGCAGATGCGGGAACCACAGAACCATGTTAATTTTTCCTGAACGGCCCTCTGAATACCAGAAAAGGGGGTCCCTAGTTCGATTCCTCGTGGTGACAAATTTTTGCATTTCGAGTTGACGTTCCAAAATTCGCGCAAAATGGAGTTAGCATGAATAATTAGTACCATATTCATGATTAGGACCGTCAGTAACCCTTACAAATAGACTTTGATTAAAAAACTGGTGAAAAAGGTGTGACACCACAGTGGGGCTGCTTGGTGTCCACCCCTTACACCAATTTTCAAGTCATAGCCTTTTTGTAGGAGTTGCTGAACGGTCCTAATCATGAATATGGTACTAATTATTCATGCTAACTCCATTTTGCGCGAATTTTGGAACGTCAACTCGAAATGCAAAAATTTGTCACCACGAGGAATCGAACTAGGGACCCCTTTTTCTGGTATTCAGAGGGCCGTTCAGGAAAAATTAACCATGGTTCTGTGGTTCCCGCATGTGCCCCTATATCATGCAAAAGACCGTTTTCAAAAAGCTTGGCACGCCCTGAAAGACCTTCCTGGTGAAGGAGGGAAGTGATTCTGGCGAAGGACTGAGCAACCTGCGTTCTCCCTGGCGTTTCTCCACGGACTAAGTCCTGGTGTCACCTATCAGCAGTTTTTGAGAAACCCTATTTTGAATGTCTCCACTGTGGACATGAGAGTCAGCAGCCTCATCCATTTGCAAGTAGATTGATAAATAAAAAGCAGGGTGAAAAAAATCAGATTAAACCAAGAAAACGTTTTAAGCTTATATACTAGCAACAGGATCTATAGCTCTTTCAGGTCTAGACTCGCCCAAGGTCTAGTGCCAAATGGTCCGACAGGCAAAAAAGCTCCTCCAGGAGCGAATATTAACCAGCTGGTAAGCGCGACTGCTCGTGGTGTAGAGTCGACGTACTCCACACCACCTATACTGCCCTATGCCAACCAAATCAAATCGTAGCTTTCAACAGTGCAAAGAACTCTTGGCTTCCTGGAGAGCCTTTCTATGAATGAACAAGTTTTAAGGTGCTTTCCAGACGTGGAGCACTGAGTTGGAGCACGATGCTCAAGCTTATGCAAACACCTGTCCACAGAGTGGTTCCGATGAGACGTCGCGCAAAGATCAAGGCGAGAATTTCGCAACTGTTTCGACCAGCTCCGCTGATTCTTACCTCGTAGCAGCTTTCAGGGTACGCTGCCTTTAGTGCTTTTTCGTTTGCTTTGCGATCCACTTGTTTCTGCACAGTGATTTTCAGGCAGTGCAATCGTTTTGGCGCCAGATCAAAATGTACGGCATTAACGAGAAAATGCTGTTCACCGCCACGCTTTTGAATAGACCATTGCTTCAGTTCACGCAAGTAAGTTCCAAATTTTTCTAGTACGCAAAAATTGATTCTCGAGAAAGGTCCCGGTTCACAGGGATTAGGTAGCGGCAAGTATCGATGAATGGCTCAGTCAATACCAAGCGGTATGGTAGTCGTGCTTGAAGAATGAAAACGGATTTCTGGGAGTGTTCTGTTCTGCGTCCTTCACGCTAAGGAGATCATTCGTAACGCTAAGCTTAAAAGCATTATTATCGTGCAATCAACTCATTGGGAGTGATTTTTCGATACCGGTGCCGTCGACATATCGCATTTGGGTCCTGCCCAATTTTCGCACATAGCCGCTAGTTCCCGCCCCCCCCCCCACCTGAAACTCCTCCTCTCCACCCCTCCCTTTGAGTTGGTGATAAAAGTCCATCCGTTGGTTCTGAGTAGCTTTCCATCATCATCCTTGGCTGTTGCAGCAGGTCTTCATTAGAACGTACACATGAAATGTGTAGGTCAATATCCTCACCAATAGCACCGTGACGCTATTTCTCTTAACGCATCCTAGCGTTGAAAAGATAAAGCACAATGAAGTGTACCTCTTCCTCATATGGTATTATTTCTACCTAGAGAGGGAATTGGCGGTCGAATACTATAATATGAAAGGACCAGGTTTGCTCCGCCCGCTATCGCGCGCATCACAGGGTAGGGAGGAACCACGGAATAGCAGCATGACGTACTCCATTAACCACCTCACTATTGAATGTGTTATACCTCCTTATACCCCTTCTCTCCGGCGCATACAATACCGCCCCTAATTTTTGTTCAATCGACGAAATGTGATACAACTTTCCGTAGCAAACCGTCGTTTCGCTGTAACTTGTGAAGGTAAGGCGCAAATTATATAAAATTTATGCCATCGGATAGCCCTGCTCCTGGTGAATCTAACGATATAGTAATCTCTCAACTTTCCTCAAACCTTCCGCCTTATTTTTTAGAAAATCGACGATTGAGTCTCTGCTTGCCAATGGCAATACCTGCGGACATGACACCATCGCGAAACCCTCCAGTTCGACTGGGAGATTCAAAACACGTATTCCAAAACCGCAAATGTGATTATTTTCGAAGAGAGCTTGAATTCATGATCATTTTGATACCAGTGACAGCGGGGTTTCAACAATTTCAACTGAAAATTCAAGTTTTAGAGACCACTTTCTTAGGGATTTGACGATTCTTCGCGACCCTAGCATCCAACTCTACGGGGTTGTAACCTGATGATCTCTGTTGGTTCATTTGTACTTTCAAAAGTCCGTTTGCATCAGTCCTGCCCAGAAACGGTCCCTCGATGGATGACCTCCTCTAATTACGTCGACTAACTGCGTGCGAGACCGTATCGATCTGATCCTCTGGTGATACTGGAGCGCTTAGCTCATGCTCCTGACAAATGAGAGGCACATAATAAAGGAAATCCACTGAAATGTATGGCCTTTCAAATCCAATTTTTTTCATTTCCTTTACCTGTTATTCAAGTATTAATTGTAGAATTCGATAATACTCTTTGGTAGCCCTGAACGCAGCATCTTAATGGCCTTTGAATGCGATTTGACCTAAACAATTTGCAGAATTTGTCGATGTACAAGTCAGTGCCTTTATCCTCCCGGACAATTCTGATACCCTCTGACCAGTGATGGAAGGCCTGGTCGACCCGGTCGTCGTACAACACCGTTTTTGATTCCTAGACTTTCGCCGTCGTTTGGTAATTATGTAGGTTGGGAAATATGGGATAAGGATCCGAACCACTACATGAATGATGAAAACGAAGTCAATTCCAACCACAGATCCAAATTGAGTAAATAAATAAAAATAAAATTATAATTAAAGTTTAGTAGTTGTTCCAAGGCAAAACAGTGTAGGACTAATTTATTAGTAGTTTCGCGCAAAAGAGTCTTTCAAAGGAGTTATGGTACTCGAAAGAGTTACGAGAATGGCAAGATACTGCGCAAAGTGTGGGATAATAAAGAGCTAGGGCTCATGTTATACCTCATCACTTTCAAATCTGTGAGCAGGTCGTATTTAAGTGGTGGTACAGATGTGATACCTTTCAATACATCCATTAATGTGAAGGAATTCGACATCCCAAAGCAAGGGAAACTCACGCTGATTTCTTCAATTCCTGATCACCGCGAACAAAAGATGAGTTTTGGAGGCATCCGGGAATTTTCGAGCGTAGTTCTGTGCAACGGCACAAAGACTCGGTGTATCGCGTTAGTTTGTGAGCAGTATCTTTTGCGCAAGAACCTGCGGTGAAAGTCCAGGAGTTCTAAGAGAGCAGAAAACTCCGTAGGACTCATGTTGTCTTTAGCTGCACAAGAAGTTTAAGTTGGGTTCATTGTAAACGTGTCTAATTGCGGAAAATAAATCTCAAAAGTTGTTCTGGCCAATTTCTATTAAGTGTTTTAATTTTGCTAGCTTAGTCGTAAATGGTGAAGAGTGCATCTGTGCAACCGACACAGATTCCACCTAAAGAATCAGAATGCACCTACGACTTAGGCTACCAACGGACATAATCAAATTCTTCAATTAATACTTGAATAACAGGTAAAGGAAATGAAAAAAATTGGATTTGAAAGGCCAAACATTCAGTGGATTTCCTTTATTATGTGCCTCTCATTTGTCAGGAGCATGAGCTAAGCGCTCCAGTATCACCAGAGGATCAGATCGATACGGTCTCGCACGCAGTTAGTCGACGTAATTAGAGGAGGTCATCCATCGAGGGACCGTTTCTGGGCAGGACTGATGCAAACGGACTTTTGAAAGTACAAATGAACGGACAGAGATCATCAGGTCACAACCCCGTAGAGTTGGATGCTAGTGTCGCGAAGAATCGTCAAATCCCTAAGAAAGTGGTCTCTAAAACTTGAATTTTCAGTTGAAATTGTTGAAACCCCGCTGTCACTGGTATCAAAATGATCATGAATTCAAGCTCTCTTCGAAAATAATCACATTTGCGGTTTTGGAATACGTGTTTTGAATCTCCCAGTCGAACTGGAGGGTTCGCGATGGTGTCATGTCCGCAGGTATTGCCATTGGCAAGCAGAGACTCAATCGTCAATTTTCTAAAAAATAAAGCGGAAGATTTGAGGAAAGTTGAGAGATTACTATATCGTTAGATTCACCAGGAGCAGGGCTATCCGATGGCATAAATTTTATATAATTTGCGCCTTACCTTCACAAGTTACAGCGAAACGACGGTTTGCTACGGAAAGTTGTATTACATTTCGTCGATTGAACAAAAATTAGGGGCGGTATTGTAGCAGCCGTCCGTCCTCTTGCAGTATGATACCTTCCCTTCATCCATTTCCCATTCATCGCAACTTCCTCCTTCAAGTGTGCGAACGAGTAATATGATAAAGCTGAAAAAAGAAGTACCGTGAGTAAGAATTGAATAACAGAACGAATCTATGAGAAATGTCACCTTTGGCACCTCTGAGCACTAGGCTTACCCCCCCCCCCACCCCGATTACAATGTGAATCGCTTCTGTCTCATTCAAGTTTTGATTCAAAGTGAGGCGAATGATATTTTGAACTAAGGGTAAATTAGCAAGGTGCATTATGACGAGAAAAAGGGAAAGTAGATATAAACATGAGTCATCCACATGCTTAGAGGATTCCTTCCCGGAAAATCCTTGCATTCTTTCTAACATGAATATGTCAGTTGTGATCACTAGAGACAACATACAAAGTTTCACGCACGAAGATTCAGTTTCCGAAGAGAAACAAACTTACGAAAACCACACTCTATGGACGGTCGAAGGTAGGTCGCGCGGAGCCAAAGGCGGGGCATGGAAAGAAGTGCGCCTTGGGGCGGCTACGTATCAGGCGACGTGAAAGAATCGGGTTGAAGCGTGCGATTTTGGAGAATAGAGACAAAACGATCGATAGAATAGAATAGGATGCAGTAGAAGTGTGAGATGTTAGTGCAATAAGTCAAAAGGTCAAAAAGAGTTTCTAGTGACAGCACTCCGTGAACCAAGTGGAAGCGTTCCCGCCGCCAGCATTTGTGACAGATGTCCGGCGGGAATTTGAACGCGTAGCAGTCTTCCCGTTTTTCGAATTGTTTACCAAAACAAATGCAATTTTTTGTTCTTTTCGTTCTTATCGTGGCGATGGCCTCAAGCTTGTGATCTGTGGGTGAGATAGAGCCCTGGTTTCCCCGGGGAGGATTCCTTGATACATTGCAGGTTTCTAGAATCACACACATACCTTTGACATATCTGGTTCTACAATATATACCATTTCCACTTGAAAATGGACATCGTTCAAATCAAAGTTGCTGTTTTGCAAAAAATCGTGGACATTTTTCAATTCGACCCGGAGATTTTTCAAATAGCTCAGGACGTTTTTCATTTCGACCCGGCTTTTTTTCAATGAACCGTGGACAGTTTTCAATTCAACTTGAATCTTTTTCAAATGACCGTAGACATTCTTCATTTCAAGATGGATTTTTTTCATTTCAAGCCAGACACCGCTCAAATGAAGCGTAACCACCTTCATTTTCGGTCGGTAATTCTTTTCAACATCAAAACAACAATTCGCAAAAAACAATAATATCCGGGAAACCTTCTTGGTCAAGAAAATACTATTTTCGAGTGAAACAAATGGTCATTTCTCTACAACCGAACACAAGGGGAACAAAATCAACAAGTTCAATTAACGAAGGGCTGTCCAGCTGCCGCGGTCGTCAAATTTACCATCATGTGGAGGACGTAACTCGCACAATCCTGCTCCGTCACCGTTCCTACACTTTCCTGAATGACTCAGCCATCCCCTGATCACATTTGGCGCTTTCGTTCACCATTGTATGCGTATTGATCCCTTGAGACAGAAACATTGCAAGAACAAGGTCGCATAAGGGAAGGGATTCAAATACTCGGGACGATCCTAGAGAAGGTTCGATGAAGAAAAGAGGATCGCTGAAACAAACGTGTATGGGGCAGATTAGAGTTCCAATGAGAGATTTTCAGTTTTTGTTCCAGGATTTGAACATCTCAGCACATCCGTCAATTTTCAGT